AGCGTTCTTGCTCATTTTGCCTCCGAGATATGAGCAAAAAGGGGACGGAAAACATGAAATTTTGGCATAATCTTGCACCTAAGTGTCTGATATTCAAATTTCGCTTTCGGAGTCAAAACTACTCGAATTTCCTCAATCACGTTGTACGACTGATTCGACTTTTCAATTCTCTATCCAACGATGCTAAAATGAATTCTGTGGCTCGAATGGTTCTTGAGAAACTTCGAAAAAAGCAGCGTTATGTTTAAGTGGATTTTGCAACTCAAAAAAAAACCACGGAAACCTAAAGCTTCTTGAATTCAAGCATTTTTTGAGAAAACTGCCAACATTTCTTTATCGATGGTTCACTTTCTAAAAAGGCCATTTATTTCTCTCTAGAATAATGTACAAATGAGCGTTCTTGCTCATTTTGCCTCCGAGAAATGACCAAAAACGGGACGGAAAACATGGAATTTTGGCATAATCTTGCACCTAAGTGTCTGATATTCAAATTTTGCTTTCTGTGTCAAAACTATTCGAATTTCCTCACTCACGTTGCTACAATTTTCTATTCAACGATGCCAAAACGAATTCTGTGGCTCGAATGGTTCTTGAGAAACCTTGAGAAAAAGCAGCGCCATGTTCAAGTGGATTTTGCAACTCAAAAAAACCACGCAAATCTAAAACTTCTTGAATTCAAGCATTTTTTGAGAAAATTGCCAACATTCCCTTATCGATGGTTCACTTTCTAAAAAGGCCATTTATTTCTCTGTAGAATGATGTACAAATGAGCGTTCTTGCTCATTTTGCCTCCGAGAAATGAGCAAAAACGGGACGGAAAACATGAAATTTTGCAATAATCGTGCGCCACCCTTGCACAAAACGACGATAATTTTTCTGAAATCCCCTGAATTTAATTGACTGGTTCCCTTAAAATGAGCAGCCCTGTATATGTTTACAGATCTGTATATACAGAGCGGCAGTCGCTCAGTGTGGCAGGTTGACTTTGACATTGACACTGACGTTTGACTGAATCAGCCTTAAACAAGACACGGACATTTTCCATTTCCTCGAAACAAATGAGTGGTTCTTGGGCGACCAAGATTCCTGCGACAAAGCGGTTCGCCTGCTAGGTCGTTGGTTTACATTCGCCAATTCAAAGAGAGCGCGAGCGATGGGCGCCCGACGCCCCAGACAAAGACAGCCAGCGGGTTGACGAACTCGCCGGTCTGTCTAACTGTAATATGTTGCATAAGAGATCTTCCCGTTAGTAAAGCGATACGACTTTCATTCAAGGCCTGCTTGGTGTTTGCGATTTGAACTCGATTTCAAGAACAATCGCACCGCTATGGAGGGCGCAGCGGCCGCAGGCCCAGCAGGCGGGCGGGTTCCCTTGCAGGGCGGGGAAAGACGAGGCCCTAAAGGCCCTTTCAGCTGGCCAGCCCACAGAAACCCGCCCGGGTTGAAAAGCTCTGACGGTGCCTTTGAGAGCGGTTGGATTGTCTTGATCCGAACCCGTTCTTGGATCGTCGCGCGGCCGAGGCGTTGAAGAGAGGAGCTAACTGTAAATCTCAGAAAACGCTCGTTTTCAAGCGTTTACCTTCGTTGAAATAAATAAGGTTATACATGATGGGTACCGTTGGGTTACTCGCGTTCATTGTGCCACTCACCTGAACTGCAGCGGCCAAGAAAAAGTGTATTTCGACCGCGAACGCATGGATGGTAATGAACTTTACCCAAAACGCTCGTAGTGGTTCGATGTTGGTATCTTTCCTGCGGGGTCCGATTACTTTTTTAAAAATTTCATTTTACAGCCCCTGCAGGAATTTTTCTCTAGAAATTGTTTTTTTAAACAAAAGAGTTGATGCAAAAAAAACGAAAATTATTTTTCAATTTTTAGTTAAAGTCGCTAGCTAGTCGTCTATCGGGCTCCATCAGCGCCCATCCACACTACCACCCAATCCCGACAGAATGGCGGCTGCGCCCATTCTAGACCGCCTTAAAAGTCACAATGGCAACGCCAGATTGAAACCGAACCTCACTTGCCAATTTGACAGTAACATTGACGTCCCTGCAGTTTTCATAACAACTAAACAGCTGTGAGTTTTTCGGTGAATTTGGGCAAAAACCATGAAAACTGGAAACTAAAGTGATAAGAGCCCGCTTGCTAATCAAGTGCCGAAGCCCCTTGACGGTTAACATGTCCAAACAGTGCCAGGGTTCGTAAACTTGGGAGGTGAGTAGGGGGAACTAGTCACCGTGAAAAACCTCCAAATCACCATAGAACACCCCGCAACTCTCCACAGGATCGAACCGACACCGCAATTTTCAGCCAGAGTAGTAAATGGTGGTTTTCGCAGGATTTGAGCGGATATTGAGACAATGGACGATTACAAGTTCCTGTTCAAAGTGGTGCTGGTGGGCAACGCAGGAGTGGGCAAGACCTGCCTGGTGCGGCGCTTCACCCAAGGCTTGTTCCCGCCGGGACAGGGGGCCACTATAGGGGTGGACTTCATGATCAAGACGGTGGAAGTGGGCAACGAGAAAGTGAAGGTAAGGGGTGGAAGCTGAAGGAACCAAGCACAAAGGGGCTGTTGCAGTTGCAAATATGGGACACTGCAGGCCAGGAGCGGTTCCGTTCGATCACCCAGAGCTACTATCGATCGGCACATGCCCTTATTCTGGTCTACGACATCTCTTGCCAGCCCACCTTCGACTGTCTGCCTGATTGGCTGCGGGAGATTGAGGAGTATGCCAGCAGCAAAGTGCTGCGGGTTTTAGTAGGTGAGCCCCACTAATCAGGGCGTGAAACGCTACATTAGCCAAACGACACTCTTGGGCGCGTTTCAGGGAACAAAATCGACAGAGACGATCGCGAAATTCCTACGCAGGTGGGCGAGGAATTTGCCGAAAGACACAACATGTATTTCCTGGAAACATCCGCCAAGGAGTCCGACAATGTGGAGAGACTTTTTATGCAGATCGCCGAGGATTTGATGAAAGTAAGGCTGATTCATCTCAAGCTCGTTGGCAGCGACGCAATAATTGTCGTCCCAAGCAAGAACAAAGTATTTGGCGAGCTTGAGACAGACTGTGGATGGTCCGGGGCTTAAATGCGGTCTTTTACAGCAAGCCCGGATGACCAACGTGCCCCGATACGACCCCAACAACTACAACGTGGACCCGGCCAGCCAGGACTCGGGCTGCTGCAGCCGATTGAACTAAACTAGCCCCCTAAGCTTAAGATGTGTGTAGACGCTTGGTCGCAATTCGACACATTCCAACGAGAACTAATTCTTCGTTAACCTAGTTGTACTTAATTCCCTCTATTGTACTTATTTATTTTTTTACACGGTGCAGGTGAAGTTCGTTTAATACATGTTTATCTTCCGTAACTGTCCAGGACAGTTTAAGCCAAAGATTTATCGATTAATAAATGTGGAAAATCCAACCAACTTTGGCTGGCTTGTCATTAAGCTCTAAGGGCAGAGGGTTGAATTTTGTGAAATGCCACGGGGAACGGAAGTTTGAGCTTAGAGGAATGGAAACGATCCGCGTGAATGCAACAGAAGGGTAATAAATTGGAAAAACTTACCGGAAAATCGCATGTTTAAACGACGATATTTCAAACTTGAAGTTGTCACTCAAAATCCCAGAGAAATAACCTCTGTGATCTGCGCGTGCAATGTGGCAGCATTGCCTGGAGGCTCTAGATGAGTGATTTATTTATCTACTTTCAATAATAAGCCTTAAACTCCTGTGACCTTTTTGCACAAAGTTGGAAAATTGCTCAACTTGGACTGAAGTTGCCCAGTTCAATGAGTTTAATATACTGGCTAGATATCCGGATGGGACGAAGAAGAGTTTAATATAAAGTGAGGTTAGACGTAAGTAAACACTAACCTCCTCCAAAGAGTCTTGTTGTGTGTATTATCGAAAACTGTGCATTTCGGGCCGCTTTAACATGGGCAATGAGAAGAAGAGACGCTCACGAAGCAAAGAACGCGTGGACAACAGCAGAGACAAAAGGGCGAAGCGGTCCAGATCAAAAAGCAAGGAAAGGGGCCACAAAAGGCCCCGCTCACGGGACAGGTTCGAGCGCAGGGACCCGCGAGATGACAAAGTGGAAAGGCGCGAAGAAAAGCACAAATCCGATCGGGATCGTAAGGTAATTGGCGAAGGTAAATAGCGAAGCCACAGCCATGCTCAAACGACTATCAATTGCAGGATGAACGCGATCGCAAAGATGAAAAGGACAGGAAACCGTCCAAGGACATAAAGCCGCCACTGGAGGACCTAAAATCCCAGAGCAAAGCGGACGGGAAGCAGGAGGCTGTGAAGAAGGAGCCCCTGTCTTTGGAAGAACTGCTGGAAAAGAAGAAGGCAGAGGAGGCTGCTAAAAGCAAGGTAAGACTCGAGCTAACTCTGCTGATACAACACAGTGCAGCCCGGTGGTTTTAGCCAGTCTTCTTGACTAAAGAGCAACGTGCGGCCGAGGCCCTGAAGCGTCGACAAGAGGAAGTGAGCAAGCAGAGGAAACTGCAGGATGATGAACGGAAAATCATCCAGTCCATGCAGATGAGCCGGCAGGAGGACCGGAAGGAGGACAGAGACCGGGACCGGCGGCCTCGCGATCGAGAACGGGAGGAAGAAAAGCAAAAGGACAAGGACAAGGAGAAGGAACAAGACGCCATCAAAGAAAGGCAGGCGGTTTGGTTTTCCATCCTCCAATCCCTAACTGGGAAATTGTCCTTCACAGATACCTGGGGTTGATAAAGAAAAAGCGCCGCGTTAGAAGATTGAATGACCGCAAGTTTGTCTTCGATTGGGACGCTGGGGAGGACACTTCCTTGGACTACAACAACCTGTACAAGGAAAGGCACCAGGTGCAGTTCTACGGCCGGGGCAATTTGGCCGGAATCGACATCAAGGCCCAGAAGAGAGACCAGAGCAAGTTCTACGGCGAACTTCTGGAAAAACGCCGCACTGAGGCGGAAAAGGCCCAAGAGAAAGTCAGGCTAAAGAAAGTGAAGCGCAAGGAAGAAAAGCAACTGTGGGACGACCGGCATTGGTCCGAAAAGGATAAGGACGAAATGACTGAAAGAGACTGGCGTATTTTCAGGGAAGACTACAACATTACCATCAAAGGTTAGTGTGCTTTGCCCAGGCTTTTAGCAGCAATCCTGCAAACGAAGGCGGCTTTTCCAGGCGGCAAAATCCCCGAGCCGATCCGCAACTGGAAGGAATCAGCCATTCACAAGGAGCTATTGGAGATCGTCGAAAAAATCGGCTATAAAGAACCGACCCCCATTCAGAGGCAAGCCATCCCCATTGGGGTGCAAAATCGGGACATTATCGGCGTGGCTGAAACGGGTTCCGGTAAAACACTGGCCTTCCTAATTCCTCTCCTGTCCTGGATCCAATCGCTGCCCAAAATCGAGAGGACCGAAGACGCCGACCAGGGGCCCTACGCCATCATTCTGGCACCCACTCGCGAACTGGCGCAGCAAATCGAAGAAGAAACTGTTAAATTCGGCCAGCCTTTGGGCATTCGAACCGTCGTAGTTGTTGGAGGTGAGCCGGGCAAACGCCCATCCAGCCCCAGTCTTTACCGGTTTGTTTGCAGGTTTGAGCAGAGAAGAGCAAGGTTTTCGCTTACGAATGGGCTGCGAAATAGTCATTGCGACTCCTGGTCGTCTGATTGATGTGCTGGAAAACCGCTACTTGGTCTTAAACCAGTGCACCTACATTGTGCTGGACGAAGCGGACAGAATGATCGATTTAGGCAAGATTGCCCCGGAGAAAATCCTTCGGATGGCTAACCCGAGTGTGAAACGCTTTCAGGTTTCGAGCCGGACGTTCAAAAGATCCTCGAGTACATGCCGGTGACGAATCTGAAACCGGACACGGAAGAAGCTGAGGACAGCAAGCTGCTGCTCGCCAACTACCACACCAAGAAAAAGTACCGGCAAACTGTGATGTTCACAGCGACGATGCCGCCGGCAGTTGAAAGGTACGGGTTTTAAAAATAGTTGATAAAGGGTGCGTGCAAAGCCAGCAGTTTTTTGGTCAAACTGAGGTCAAATTGTTGTATTTGTCTTTTCTGGTGGTAGGGTTGGGAGAGAAACTGCAAGTTCAACATGTAAAAGTAGACTGGTTGTTGGGGATCTTTTCCTTACTTCCATTTGGAACTTTCTTGCCTTCTCCCCGGCCACTTGTTCATCTGGTCCACTCGAGCAGGTCTCGACTCCTCCATCTGGCTGGTTCTGCTGGATATCTCTCTGTTCTTCTCCTTTACGCTTTCACTAGTCAAACATATCTTTACTGCATCCGCCAATCAACCCAGAAGATTTCATTCAAATCGCGCTAAAATTGGATTTTTACGCGGTCTGAAAACGCAGGTCTAAAAATGAAAGTTTTAACTCAATTGTTGGCTCCTATTCAAAAATTCGTAATTCCGATTCCAGACCAGGTGGCAAGTTGAAACTTGCCACCATATAGAAGACACTTGACTCTCGAAACAGTGAAAGTTTCATTCGAATGGCTCTAAAACCCGATTTTTGCCCGCTCTTTAAATGCAGCTCTAAAAATGGAAGGTTTAAGTCAACGGCCCGCTCTTATTCAAAAATTAGTAATTTCCATTCCAGATAAGGTGGCGCCTTCAAACTTGCACACCCTATAGAAGACACTTAAGTCTCCAAACTATGAATATTTCATTCAAATCGCGCTAAAATTGAATTTTTACGCGGTCTGAAAACGCAGGTCTAAAAATGGAAGTTTTAACTCAATTGTTCGCTCCTATTCAAAAATTCGTAATTCCGATTCCAGACAAGGTGGCGAGTTGAAATTCGCACACCCTATAGGAGACACTTGACTCTCGAAACAGTGAAAGTTTCATTCGAATGGCTCTAAAACCTGATTTTTGCGCGCTCTTTAAATTCAGCTCTGAAAATGGAAGGTTCAAGTCAACGGCCCGCTCTTATTCAAAAATTAGTAATTCCCATTCCAGATAAGGTGGCGCGTTCAAACTTGCACACCCTATAGAAGACACTTAAGTCTCGAAACTATGAAGATTTCTTTCAAATCGCGGTAAAATTGGATTTTGACGCGGTCTGAAAACGCAGGTCTTAAAATGCAAGTTTTGACTCAATTGTTCGCTTTTATTCAAAAATTCGTAATTCCGATTCCAGATAAGGTGGCTAGTTGGAACTTGCACACCCTATAGAAGACACTTGACTCTCGAAACAGTGAAAGTTTCATTCGAATGGCTCTAAAACCTGATTTTTGCGCGCTCTATAAATTCAGCTCTAAAAATGGAAGGTTTAAGTCAACGGCCCGCTCTTATTCAAAAATTAGTAATTCCCATTCCAGATAAGGTGGCGCGTTCAAACTTGCACACCCTATAGAAGACACTTAAGTCTCGAAACTATGAAGATTTCAGTCAAATCGCGCTAAAATTGGATTTTTGCGCGGTCTGAAAACGCAGGTCTAAAAATGCAAGTTTTAACTCAATTGTTGGCTCCTATTCAAAAATTCGTAATTCCGATTCCAGACCAGGTGGCAAGTTGAAACTTGCACACCCTATATAAGACACTTGACTCTCGAAACAGTGAAAGTTTCATTCGAATCGCTCCAAAACCTGATTTTTGCGCGATCTTCAAATGCAGCTCTAAAAATGGAAGGTTTAAGTCAACGGCCGGCTCTTATTCAAAAAATTAGTAATTCCCATTCCAGAGAAGGTGGCGCGTTCAAACTTGCACACCATATAGAAGACACTTTAGTCTCGAAACTATGAAGATTTCATTCAAATCGCGCTAAAATTGGATTTTTACGCGGTCTAAAAAGACAGGTTTAAGAATATATCAACAAACATATCTTTACTGCATCCGCCAGGGTGTCTAGAATGGTTAAAATGAAAATTTTAGCTGAGAAATAAATTTGCACAAAACTATACATTTCAACGAAAACGACGATTTTGAAATGGTCACCTAATAAAGCAAGTGTGTTGCAGATTGGCCAGAACCTACCTGAGAAGACCGGCAGTGGTGTATATCGGCTCCATTGGCAAGCCGGTGGAGCGCGTGGAGCAAATCGTGCATATTGTGGGCGAAAACGACAAGCGGCGCAAGCTGATGGAGTATCTATCCAAAGGCGTGGATCCTCCAATTATTATCTTCGTCAACCAGAAGAAAGGCGCCGATGTTCTGGCTAAAGGTACCCGGTTCTGCAGGCCGAGCTCGGCTTTTTATCGCTCTCTTTCCAGGTTTGGAGAAGTTGGGATACAACGCGTGCACGCTCCACGGAGGCAAAGGACAAGAGCAGAGAGAATATGCCTTGGCCAGCTTGAAGTCGGGAGCTAAGGATATTTTGGTGGCTACCGATGTAGCCGGAAGAGGCATCGACATTAAGGACGTTTCCATGGTCATCAACTACGACATGGCGAAGACGATTGAAGGTAAACGCGCTGCGCCCCTCCAGGCAGCTTCAGGTCCAAATCGATGCCTTTTGCAGATTACACTCATCGTATCGGTCGTACTGGACGTGCGGGAAAGACTGGAATCGCCGTCAGTTTCTGCACGAACGACGACTCTGCCTTATTCTACGACCTGAAGCAGATGCTGTTGTCGTCGCCAGTCTCCTCCTGTCCGCCGGAGCTGATGAACCACTCGGAGTGTCAGAATAAACCCAATCAACCCAAAAGGCGACGGGATGAGATGATTTTCGCGTAAACCAAGGCGGGCAACTGGATTGATTGATACACGTTCTTGGACTGTACAAAGCATCTATTGATAGTAAAAAATGTGGTGGTAAGCAACCAGTAAGAACAATTATTATGAGAAAAAAGTGTAAAAAACTCAGCCATGGGCACATGAGAGCCAACATATCAGCTCCAGTCAGTAGTTTAGCCTTCAAACAGTCATCAGTTGCCCAGAACACCAGGGACAGTGATGGAAGTTCTCGTCCGGCTCCACTAAGTTGCTGGTTTTGATTTCCGATAGCAGCGTAATAATTTCCTCGGCTGTGTGGCTGGTTTGGCTCACGTTCGACACGTTGGTTATCTTGATTTTGTTGATGTCCTCGTTCATTTTGCTGTGTTCCTCGCAAAAGTTGCCGATCTGGCTGTTCATGGATTCCTGGTGCTGCAGCAGTTCCGCGGGCAGCGAGCCTTTTTCCGTCACCAGCTGCTTGATGAGCTCATTCAGCTTGTCCAGCTTCAGTTTCACCTGCTCCCTGTCGCCGGCGAGCTGCTTGAGTTGCTGGTCCTTTTCCAGCGCGCGCTGCTTCAACACCATGCGCTGCCGCTGGTAAAGCGCCACGTATTCCCCGATGGTTTCAGTCTCGCTCTGCAGCTGCGTCACGATGTGCTCGAGGCGCTGCTTTTCGTCCGTCAGGTCCGCTATTTCCTGCATGGTGCGCTTCACTTTTTCCTCCAGGTGCTTCATCACATTTTCCTGGTTTAGGACGGTGTCGCCCTCCGCCTGTTCAATGTTTTCGATGGCTTCTTGCGCCATGGCATTGAGTTTGTCAACTTCTTTGGAAAACGCCGTATTGGCTTGCTCAACATCACCATTTTCGCGCTTGGGTTCCGGCTGCCGATCCAGAGCAAGCCTGGCGATGGTTTGCTTGGCTTCCAGCAGCTCTTGCTGCAGAATATGCGCGGAATTGTCATGAGCTTCATAGTGTCTTAGTCGGTCTTCACGCTGCTCGTGCTGCATTGCATGTTTCTTCAAATCTTCGCACGCCTCTCTCAGGCGGGTGAGCTCCACGTCCTTGATGTCAATGGCTTCGGCCAAGGACTGCATGGTGGCCTCGGCTTTGACGAGTTTCTCCAATAAGTCCTTGTTGGCCTGCTGCTGCCCCTTCAAGTTCTCGGTCAGCTCCACTTTATCGTCGTCCTAAACCGGGATTATTGTTGCGTTAATTATCCCCGATTGCTTGCAGCTGGTAACTTGCCATTTTTCTGAAAACCTCCTGCATGCTCTCCAGCTGCTGCTTGAGCTCCTTGTTTTGCTGGATGGCTCTGGAAGCGGCCACTTTGTCGCTTTCCATTGCCGCTAGTAACTTCACGCTGTCCGGCTGATTGCCGCGAAGCTGTTCGATCATGCTCTCCAACTGAGCAATCGAGTCGGTTTTCGCCTCCAGCTCCTTCATCAGCAGCTTGTTCTCGTTGGATACCTAAAAAGTAGTTGGTCACAACCCCATATTGCTGCCCCCCAACAGCTTACTCTCGTATAGTTTTCTTCAGCGGAGGTTTTTTCGATTTGCAGTTGAACGCACATTTCCCTGGACTTGTCCAAGTCGTGGCGCACATCCGCACTGTGGGAGTTTCGCGTGGCAAAAGTGATCTGGTCGTTCTGCAGCACCTGCAGTTGCTTTTCCAAGGTGCCGATGTGGCTGATCCTACTCTGGTCCTGCAGGACTAGGGTCTCCCTTTCCTGTTGCAGCTGCTCCAGCTTGGAGCCCAGGCTGGAGATTTGGGCTGTGAAAAAGAATGGCAAATTTCCCAAATTAGATCTTCTGCCAGCATCTTCAGCTCACCGTTAAGCTGCTGGGCATACTGCTGGTATTGGACTGTTGATTCATCCCGCTCCTTTATAATGGACTTCAGCGATTGGTTTAAGCTGGCGATTTCACTTTGCAGCGCAAATTTCTCTTGAGTGAGCTGCGCCAGCTGATGGTCCATGCCGGCAGTGCCTCCAGAGGAGAGCTGCTGTATTTTCACTTCGGCCAGCGACTGCTTGCCAGCCAAATCCTGCAAGACATAAATTACAGTTTTTACGCTGGTTTTCTTCTATGGCGGGTGGGACCTTATTCGACTGCTGCAACTGCAGGTTTTCCTCTAGGGCGTTCTTCAGTTTTTCCCTGGCTTCCAACAGGTCTTGCGCCAGCTCCTCTTTCTGGGTCTTCAGTGCGGCGTACTCCAGCTTCAGAGCCTCTAAGCTGGCCCCATATTGTTCGCCTGCACTCTCGAACTTCACCTTGTCGGACTTCAAGCCAGCTAGTTCCCTTTCCAAGTCGGCCACTCTTGTTCTAGAGGCGCGCAGCCTTGCCTGCAGCTCCTCACACTCAGTAATCTTCTGCTTGCAGCTGATTTCATACTGGCTCAGATTAGAGGAAAGCTCAGTTTTCTCAGCCACCAGCAAACCGATGGTTTGCAGATGCGTCTGAAGCTCGCTCTTCATTTGCATGGTTTGCTGGGCGCTTTGAAGCTCCGAGCCCAGCTCCATGCGGCTCAGATCCTCCTCCAGCTGAGCTACACGGGCTTCCAGCTGGGAATTTGCGGCTCGCAGCTGCTCGGATTGAAGCCTTTCCTGGTCCAAATGAGCCGCCAGCTCAATGTTGCGCTTCTCCAGATCGGTGATTGAGCCTGAGGAGTAATTATCATAGTCCGGCTCCATCATCTGCGCCAACTGCTCAGAGAGTTGCTTCAGACCCTCAACGTTCGAGTATTGAATCTCTTTTTTTGTTAAATCGGCTGAACTGTCGATTTCCTGGTTGGTGTGGCAGATGCTGCTCCTTTCTTCTTCAGTTGCTCCGGTGGAACCTGCAAAGGGGCAAGAAAGCGGTAAGTGGCAAGGCCTGAAAATAGTCCTGACTCACCTAAGTAGTCTAATAGTTTCTGACTACTCTGTGGCGAAAATATGTTGTCCAAGTTGTTGTCGCCAGACTGAGCTTCTGGAAAAGGCCCAAATTTTAGTTGATCCGCTCTTGCTTGGGCCAATTCGCTCATTTCCTGCTCGCTTTTCTTCAGTTCCGGATCAATGTCAGAAAGCACATCATCCGTTGCTGCCACTTCATCGGGCGAATTGTGACTGATCTGATCCGGACTAGGGAACAACTGATAGCCTTCCTGACAAGAGTTTTTGTTCTCTGGAATGGTGTTTTCCCATATTACCGCACTACTGTTCAAATTGTCAAAATACCTAGGTAGACCTATATTTTCAGTGGGTTTTTCATCCCGTGTGTTGAAATATGTTAGCAGAGACGGGCTAGTGTGGTCAGATTGTTTTTCTGCGTCGTTTGTGGGCGAAATGCTATCGAAAAATGTGGCTGGGGCTTGATAGTTCGAGGACCCGTAATCGCTGGGTAATGCGGACTCTTCGTCCTGCTCCACATATTGGATACTGGAGGGCACACTCTCCGAAGCATAATTCTGTTGCGAGCCATCAGGGCTTTCTTCTGGAGCGCTAGAGATAGGCGAAACTGTTGCATTCCCTATGGAGTCATCCTGCGGGGGGCGCAGATCACTGGGTGTGTTTCTACTGCTGGATTGGGCACTGTCTGGATTCAAGTTGCCGGCCTTGGTGCAGTCGTTGCGTTTCTTCTTCAATTCCTGCAGTTCTTTGAACTGAAAATAAACCAAAACAACTTTGCTATGACATGTTTGTGATGATGTGGCCGAACTGGCTGAAACACCCGACTGACATTGATGAAAATGGTGTTTATTTGGTGCTTTAGGCGCTAGCGGGTCTCTACAACTAATTGCAACGGAAAAACACTCACTCGTTTTCGTGTATTTGCTAATTTCTGCTTTTTGTCTTCAGCAACATCCCCCATTTTTCCTGAATGTCACCCTGACATCTGCCACTTGTCTTCATCTATGATCTGCCCGTTGGTTTAATGTTGCCAACAAAGTGATAGTTAAGTTCCTAGAAAACCCCATTCGCGCGCAGTTCTTGTCGATAACCTCAATCATAGATGAAGACAACTAATCAATAACCACAAATTATACCCTCTAAGGGGGTATGTTCTGTGTCAATAACATTAACAAATTAAATCAATCGGCGACGTTAGAAAAGATGCTTAAACTTTTGCGAAAAACATAATTATTGTGCATCTAGCGACAAATTTGCAGGTGGAGTTATGAACTGTTGATACCTAAAGCACGATTTAGCAGCAGATAGTTAATCAATTTAAGCATTTTCCACCTGCCACCATCCGTTTTCTGGTAAGATAAACATTTTCTTCTATCACTTCGTCCATTTTTGCAGTTAGAACACAACAAACTGGGTCACAATTGTTTCAACTTATATTTTCCAGATACGTAACTGAAATACAGTTGTTTTACATAAAGGAAGTAGGTAGTTGATATCGGTCAACTGAACAGCACAGCGTCTGATAAATTGTTCGCCCCATGGTTTCCGGCTGCTTGCTTCTTATTTAACCACGTCTTTTTCCTTCTTCGGGCGGCCTTTGGCATAATATGCGTCAAGGAAGAGTCCGAAAAAGACCAGGAAAGCGCCGATCCACTGTCGCTCTGTGAGCGTGTTGCCGAAAAACACCACTGAGCCGAGCACGGTGAAAAACTTGCGAGTTGTGGTTACAATGGACAGAACTAGCGGCCCGAACTCGGACACCTATAAAAGAACCAGGTGGAGATTAGGCTCATGGAGAAGCTGAAGCCTTCGGCTTACCATGGAAAAGATGAAAAGCTGCCCCAGAGCCGAGGCCAGGCCGATGAAGAGCAGCGCGCTACATATCGAGACATTTTCTTTGGCATATTGGAGAAATGCGACGGATTCTCCTGTGATTAGCATCACCGCTATGAGGTAGAGACTGGACCAGCCGTTTTGCATCAGCATCATTTGCAGTCCCGTCGGTTTCGATTCCGCTCTGATTCGTTCCTGGAATACGTAAAAATGATACAAATTTGTCCTTTCTCAGAGTTAATAGCTTATTTTATTTTAATTTAGTAGTCACGGGAATCACCAGATCGTTTTGATAATCCAGAGATTATTTATTATAGACTGGGAAAGCTCAAAGAAGCGGCCTGAATTGTTCAAACGAGCACCGCGAAAGCGTTAAAACTGTTTCATCAGGATCCCCGATTGCATCTTCTGTTGCAACCAGAAATCTCTTTAAATCGAATTGTTTTGTGTCAAAAATGAGTTCCGAGCCTATAAATTTTTCGCTTTTCACCACCCGAATGTGAAAACGTCGCGTCCATGTTCAAATGGATTTTGCAACTCAAAAAAAAACCACGCAAATCTAAAACTTCTTGAATTCAAGCCTTTTTTGAGAAAACTGCCAACATTTCCCCATTCATGGTTCACTTTCTAAAAAGG